CCTAATCGTGTCCACCTCGAATTTCTCCCTCAAATCCTGCATCGTGATCTTCTCCTCATGCATCTCCCTAATCTTCTGGCCTCCTATCCCCCTCACCAGCCGATTCCAAAACATCTCGAACGAGTTCAGTTGCGCTGCTGAGAAGCTGCAGGCTTCACACCCGTACAGAGCTGCCAGCACCGTGGCCTTCACTAGCCTGCCCAGGGTCTTCGGTTGAAGTCCCCACCTAGGAATCTGCTTAAATCCTTTGCGCCATACGATGCCTGCTCGACAGAGTCGTTCTTGGGTGTCTCGATTGTGTTTTCCGCCATTCTGAACCCAAGCTCCTAGAAATCTAATTGCCGAATGGTACTTATCCGACTCCTCTGGTTTCATCTCTCCCGTGTGCAGGCGTTCGCATTTCTCAGGTGCAACCTCCTGTCCCCACCCCCGTAACGTGTTCTCAAGAAGCTGTTCGACCGACTCTCTCTCTCTGCGGCCGGCACAATAACGTTGGTATCGTCCGCGACCAGGAGTTCCAAAAGCCTATTCGTCTCCCCGAGAGACGCGTATTTGAGGTTACGTCTCCCTCCTCCCTCTCGTAATCGACTCCCCTCCCTGCTGCCCACCTTTCTACCCGCCTCCGAATACTGAGCCGATGTCTGCTGATATGCGCATGATACAAGCTGAATTGTGCTGGGCTGCTTGGGCAGCCTTCTCTAAGCCCAAGTAGAAGACGAAAGGGCTCGCTGCTCCCACTCTGAGTACGTATGGTGTACGACTTCATGCTATGTAATCCCAGCATCACCCTACAGCATCTCGGTGGCACCCCGCTGTTGATAAGAACCGACCCCATCGCCGATCGAACCACACGTGGATACGCTTTGCGAACATCAGCCATCACCAGTGCCAAATCCTCCTTCGGGGTCTCCCAGGTGCTCAACGGTTTCGCATTTGCCAGAAGTCCTAATACGGTTCGAAGAATAATATTGGGCCCATCGTCGATCGATACTGTCGAAAACCCCACTGCGTCTCAGGCCATAATCCATGACGTTCACACTGATCTCTGAGACGAGTGGCTAAACCCTTCGCCATAATACGACTAACAATAACAATAAGCCGGATAAATATGTAGTTAGCAACATTTGAGCGATCCCCTTTCTTATACAGTAATACCCCTACAGCAGTGTTCAGAGCGCCCTCCCATTCCTCAGGATCCTGTTGCCATACCTCACGAATCAGTTTCACAACCTCTGTCAGCAAAAGATCACTACCCCACTTGATCATATTAATAGATACTTCATCCTCTCCCGATTGGCTTTCCCTCATCTCCGCAATCGCATGTGTGACCTCATCAACGTCTGGGGGAGCGTCTAACCGATCATCAACTGTTACTGCCGGCTGTCCACGTGCTAGCCTCTCCTCCGTCACCTCCCCCTCGTCCTCGCCCATCACGCTCCTCACGAATTTTGCCGCCTCCTCCGCCGTAAAGGGTTCCTGAACTCCCCTACTCTTACCGTATGCATGCACCCCCAGTTGTTTCAACAGCTTGTAGAAATATCCCATGTCAGCTCTCGCTGTCGCCTTTTGCAGTTCTGCAGTAATCTGGTTGAACCACTTCTCTCTAGCCTGGTTCTTGATCATCTTCAGGTGCTCTCTGGATGGAAACATATATCGTCGCAACTGGCTGCATTCTTCACTACCTTGACGCTTCCTACATTTCCCCCACTACTCTGCAATCTCCTTCTCCGTCTTCTCAATGTGGTTCAGATCCTCCTCCGTATACGGCACTCCTAGTTTTTTTCGAGCTTCCTTCTCTCTAGCACCTCTTCTGCACTCGATAACAGCACCTTCGATACATCCGATCACGATGAGAAACCACCTTCATCCCAGAACTTTCTCTCCTCCTCGTCCACCTCCATCTCCTGCTCCTGCTATTCGATGGTCCGGGGTTCGATCACGAGTTCGGGTTCTTCCAGAAACGTCCGCCACGCCTCCTCCGCCTCCTCCTCCATCTGCATCCTGTCCTCGAAATCCATCTCCTTCTCATGAAAAATACTTGCCCTGTTCCCACCACCGCTACAGTAGGCGTCTCGATCACCGTTGGGGATGGCGTACTTAGATACTTCCTGTGTCCCTCCCGACCTCGATCAGCACTTTTGTCTGCCGCCTCATTTCCTACAGCTCCGCTATGTCCCTTGACATGTTTGAAAATCACTTTGCGTGTGGCTTGAATTTTCCGAACCCGTCTGTGAATTTGTTTGACCAGGGCGATGTTTGATTTGGATTTCCATCTACCGGTAGCCATCTGACAAGCATAAGTATCATCATACAGTGTAACGACAGGGGTGCGATTCGTACATCGTTTGCCCCGTTCATATAACTCCTGACAGCCAAACAGAATAGCACTCAGCTCACCCGTGTTGTTGCTCGCTTTGTTCGCTCCCACAGACCCTGGATGTCTTGCACTCAAGACAACTGGACCATGAAACTCATGAACACGACATTGCTCAAATGAAGCTACACCCCATCCCGCAACTCCATCCGATTCACCATCTCCGTTGATATACGATCCGTCTGTACACATCTCAATCCAAGATCCCTCCCAGCTTTCGAATACAATATCTCATCTGTCTTACTCTCGTGCAGTCTGCAATCGTCCTGAGTGAATTTCTCAGGTTCAACTGCCTGAGGATGATGATCTTCATCATGTGGTCGCAATGCTCGAAGTTTTTCATCTATCAATTGCTGGTACTGCTTTCTCAATGTTGTTGCCTCCTCGGATGCCCCCCCATTTTGAATAACATACGCCGAACTTTGCGTTCGTGTTGTTTGTTGTGTTGTGCTTGAATACTTTGCAATATACGTGCTCTATCAGTTCGTTAATTTGATGATTTCGTTGGGGCAACTCGGATCTTGTACGATTCCGCAATCCGACCAGAAAAAAAACTAAATCACCTTGAGTCTCAATAGATTCCACTTGGCTTCCAACACGAAAAGCATATAATATTAATGTCATACCAGTTCCCACTCTTATGTTGCCACATCCCTCTCGAATCAAACAAGCTGAAACTGTCTATTCTCATCATCTGGGCAGTCTGAATGAACTGCATGAATATGCGGCCTCCCGCCGTCGTACCCGTTAACCAAACAAACTGTCTTTCGTGTTCATTTGTTGGGTATTCTCTGCCAACATGTGCATTCAAGTCTCCTGCCGCAAAACATGGATCACCCATTTTTTTCTGTTGGATAACCGTAAATTCTCTCACCGTCCTATATGCTTCATCCAGTTGGGCCGCACCTGACCCTGTCGGTAAATACGCATATCCAACACCGAACATATCTCCAGTAGTCGTAGTAAGTATCACACCACGCGCTTAATCTCCTGTCCACAAGAATTGTTCACCTGCTGCCTGCCATGATATTCTAGCCGCCATATTCATCAATACACCTGTTCGTCCCGCAATCAGAAGAATGTACTCCTCAATCTAGATCATATCTTTGCTCCCCAGCGCGCTCGTGGTGCAGTGGAGCTCCGTGATGCAAGCAATGTCCCATGCATGAGATCTCATCACTACGATGAGCTGTCGCAGTTTCAACCGATTGTCAATTCTCGACCAGTCAAGACCTTGTGTGTTGATCGTGGCCAACGTGAAGCTACTCTTGCACTCGAACTTCTTTCTTCGAGATGGTCGGAGCATTCTGCGAATTCGTCCTCAGAGGCGTCCCCGACCAGAGGGGGCTCCTTGACTGATCAGTGTCGAGCGAGCCAGGTTCCGTGCATTGAAATGATCGACTGCGGACCAATGACCTTCAACACGCTGCGCGTGGTCGGCGTCTGCACCCTGCCCGCGAAAGAGTGGCAGAAGCCGTTGTCGCCTCACAAACATCGAAAATTGTGCATGGAGTACCCTTCGTCGCCAACCTCGTCGATCCTCTGGTGGGTGATGAGGGCGAGGCGCTTCACTGCCGCCCACTTGAGGGGGCACTCCTCCGACAGAGCACTGCAGCTGATGACGTTGCTGGTCTTGGATGGATTTTGCTCGCCTGCGCTCGCCCGCGCCGCACCCCTCGGTGTAGCCGTTGATGTGCTGCTGGAGCTTCCCCATGCATGCCTGCACTTTGGCAGCGGCGCCACGATTGGCGCCAGTCCGCCAAGAGGTCAAGGAGTGGCGGGAGGGGCGGAAATACGAGGAGAGGACGGAGCGTGTCAAGCCGGCCGGCTGGTGCGCACGCGCCTGGTTTCATCATTGTAGTTGATGATGTGGGGCGCCACGTTTCGTGATGTCGGCTCTCGCGAGTAAGGCAATTTCGAAGTTTGCCCGTGAGGCGCCTTGCGCGCCCCGTGCAGGGGGGGCCGCTCCAGCGCGAAATCGCTGACGAGTAGAAGTAGGGAGCGGATGAGGAGGAATGGGGGAAGAGGAGGAAGAGGAAGGGAACTGGAATCGGAACAGATGCGCAGCTTTAGAGGGAGGAGGAGGGAGGGGAGGAGGAGGAGGAGGAGGAGGAGGAGGAGGAGGAGGAGGAGGAGCAGGAGGAGCAGGAGGAGGAGGAGGAGGAGGAATCGGAGGAGGAGGAAGAGGTGGAGGAAAAGGAGGAGGAGGTGGAAAAGGAGGCGGAGGATGAGAGGGAGGAGGAGGCGAGGGAGGAGAGGGAGGAGGAGCCCAGCAGGACAACAAAAACGCAGCAGCGGCAGCAGCGGCAGCGACAACAGCGGAAGAGGGATGACGGCGGCGACGGCGAACGAGCGGCGCCCACCACGAAGCCGACGACGACCGTAGCGAGACGACGGCGAGCGCGGAAGACCACGACGCACACGAAGGACGACGAGCGAGGAGCGACGGCGACACGCGACGACGCCGACGAGCGAAAGAAACAGGCGACGACGGCGACGAGCAACGACGATTAGCGACCAGCGATGACGACGACGCCCACCGACCAGCGACCAGCGACCAACGACCAGCGATCAGCGATCAGCGACCGACGACGACGACGACGACGACCCCTCCGCGGCCCGCCAGTGGCGCGCGCAGCTGCGGGCGATCGCCTCGGACGGCAAGGCGCGACGCGCCCCTCGCGCCCGTGCTATCGACGAGGGCGACGACGAGGCCGACGACGACGACGAAAACGACAACAACGACAAAGGCAACGACTACGACGACGAAGACGACGACGAGGCGCCCACGTGCGGGTACCGCGCAAAACCTCGGCTGGCCTCCCTAGCGCGGGAGTCGCCCACAAGGCGCCCACGGGTCCTCATCAACCGACCACCAGCCGAAACCTTCGTTGAACCATCCAAGTCCCTTGAATAAGCCAGACAAGAAACCCTGAGTGCAAGAACTGTTTGGGGAAAGCGTAGTGGCTACACGTTCAAGTCCAAAGCCGTTGCACCGGAAAGGGTGCACAGTCAGAGCGAGGTGTGCCAATTGGCACGCTCGCCAGCATGCGGAAGCATAGCATACGTGACTGGCACGCGCGGGCGTGGTATGGCCCAGGGGGAGGAGGATATCCCTCCCTGCGCTAGGCAGGCACCCCGCAGGTGATATTTAGTCGATGCGCAAGGCAAGCCACACACAGCCTTCACCGTGCAGGCCCGCTGGGCCGTCATATTCCTAGCGGGTGCCCACCACAGCGAGAGGGCATGAATGGATGGCTTCTCCGAAGGGCTTAGGCGACCCGTTCTCTTCCTCCTCCTCCTCCTCCTCCTCCTCCTCCCTCCTCATGCTCCTCCTCCTACTCCTCCCCTCCATCTCCTCCTCACCCTCCCATCCACCTCCTCCTCCTCCTCCTCCGCCGCCTCCTCCTCCTCCTCGGGTCTCCTACGGCCCCGGGGGAAACCGTGCAGGCATGAATACGTACTCGGACTGGTTTCTGAAGAAGGGTTGGTGCGCGACATGTTGGTTCAGCAGCTCTTATCATCGAAAGGGATCCGCGACATGTGGTACACGTTCGCTGGGGGGGACTGGAGTTCATTTGAGTTTGAGTCCGTGCAGGGGAGCGACGTGTGAGGGCTGCGGCCCCTGCGCCTGGCCCCCGGCGGGTCGGCCTCCTTGACCGGACACGGTTCGCCTGGGCTAGCCTGGAGTCGGGGGTGGACAGACCTCCTACCCTGACACGTTGATCAAGGAATTGGCGGTTTTCGGTTCGCGAGAGGGCGTCGTGGCCGTCATTTTTGCGGGTCCATGTCCGTCGGTTTCGGTCTCACTCCGTTTTCGCTAAGGGGAGGTTTACTAAAGGGAGGCTTGTCCACCGCCGATAGAGAAGGCGTTCTGCCGAATCGGGAACGCATGTTGTGTCTGCTCTGGTCCTCTTTCCCCCGCCTCCCCTTCGCTGTCCCATACCCACGGATTTCTTATTAGATGTTTCTGGACTCTTGGTGGATTCACCTAGATGATGTGTTCGGCTTTACCTCGATTTCCCTCGATCTCATATCCGAGCAGATACGAGAAAAGCTGTCCAACCCTTATGGAATTCCATCCCCCGCCCCCCTCATCCCTGTCCCTCTCGCTCATCCTCCTTGCTCCTCCGCCACCCCTTCCTCCAGTGTGCGCAGCTCCTTGTTTTCCGGGTGCGCATTACACGATGGGGTCCTCTTTGGAGTTCAGGGTCCGCTGCGACACGCGTCGGCGAATGGAGAGCAAGTCAGCGTAATGGGAAGGGATGTGTGAGAGGGGCAGGATGGCAGTTGTGGTGCGAGGGGACCTCGCTTGCCTCTCTCCCTCCCTCCCTCCCTCCCCCGCTCTCGCTTCTTCGTGGCTCTCGTCGCATGCCCTGCACAGGCGTTCCTGGTCAGTGAGGATGGAGCGTTTCTTCTCGGCACCTCCGGCAACGCTCCTGGCGCGCTCCGCACGCCAGGAAGGGGGGGTCCAGCGCCGGTCTAAGAAATCCGCGCGGACTCGGTAAATGATATTTATGTTGTTGCTGTTTGATCCTCTGTGTGCGTTCTCACCTTTTCCCACTGCGCTCTCGTCCATCTGGACCTTGACTCGGCCGCCTCTTGTCGATTCTCCTGAATCGATTGGAGGCGGGGTTCGGGTTCGGATGTCGCCACCGGTAGTTCAGACCCCCTGGCCGCTTCCCAAAGGGGAACATCCGGACGCCCGAAATGGGTACGGAAAGATTGGGTACGATGCCCAACAGCAGTTCCTGTTCATTTTGAACAGGATTCGCTGTCCACGGAAGGCCGCCTGCCCAGCAGCGGCCGTTGTCGGTTTGGGACCACATTTGTTGTTGGGCATTGTACCCATTTTTTCTGTACCCATTTCGGGCGTCCAAAGAATAGGAAAATACGACCTCGACTTGGAGGATTTTCACGTGTCGGGCCCTGGAATGCGATACTCGTTCGACCTTGGTTCGATACTTTTCTGGGTGCTCGAAATCATTTAACATAAGTCCAGCTCCGTACTTGGATCCTCGATCCTCGCTCCCGAACTTCGATCGATCGATCGATACGCTCGCTGTCCGTCCCGCAGCGCGCGTAGGCGACGCCCGGCCCGAACGCGCCGGAGTGGCTCGATGCCAAGAAGCGCGCCCCGAGGGAGGGTCGGGAGCGACGATTATAGGGGGGGGGGACAGGCATAGGGGGGGGGATAGGGATAAAGTGTGGTGATAGGCATAGGGAGGCGACGATAGGGCGACAATAGGGCGGGCACAGGGGGGGCGATAAGGGGGGGACAGGCATAGAGGAATAGGGCGACGATAGGAGGGGGCACAGGCATAGGAGGGGATGCCTCGACGTCGAATGGTTGATGCATCGACGATGCACGGACGATGCATCGTTCATATCAGGGCGATGCATCGACGATGTACTCGAGCCTCTTGGCCCTGGGCGCTAACGTGCCCCGAGGCCCGCACTTTTGATCATCTCGGGGGTGCGCTTGCGAGGTAGTTCCGGCACGCAGGGCAAGGACGTCGACAGGTTTTGACGTCGCACTGCACAGGAAAAACGAGGGCGATGCATCGGCGATGTAAAGACGCCGCACGGGGGCTGTCCGTACCCACGCTGTACACGACGATGCGTGGGCAATGTATATATATTTGTATATAAAGTTATATAATATTATATTATAGTATGTTATATTTTATTGTATTATATTCTATTACATTATATCATATTATATCATATCATGATTTATTATATTATAGTATTTTATATTATATTATGTTACATTATGGTTTGATTTATTATATTTTATAAGATTACATTATTATATATATTATATTATATTATATTAAATTATAATATAATATTTCATGCTATATTATATTATATTTTTTATATTATATTATATTATTATATTATATTATATATTATATATATATATATATATTATATATTTTATATCATATAATATAAATATATATAATAATATAATAATATAATATAAATAATATATATAATATATATATATATATATATATATATATATATATCGGCACTGCGAGGTCGGTGCTTCCCCCCTGTGTCTATCCCCTTCTCGTCGACCCTCAGAGGGGGGGCGGGTGGGGAGGGAGAACCGACCGGCCGAGACGCGGGCCGAGGGCCCAGAGGCCCGAGGCGCCGACAGACTTCGGAGCGCGCCGTTGTGGGGGTTGTTGTCGGCTGCGGGGGGCCCTCGACTCGGGCCGAACGAAAGGGTATTCTAAAACGACGCGAAGATCGGGACAAAATCGGATCGGGATAGCTCGAAATCTCTGAGAATCGGCGGGTTTGGAGGATGTATCGGGCGCCGCGGCCGCTCCAGAGCGTTCCGGAACGCTCTGAGAGCGCTCCAGAACGCTCTGGAGCGATTTATCCCGATCCTAGCCCTGTTTTATATTCCAGATTTCATAATAAAGGGAGGGGGGGTCTCATTTCGGGGGGGGTCTCTTCCAGGCTATCTTGGAGGGCCTGGGGGGGTCTGGGGACGACGTTTTGGAGGGTTCTCCCACAGGGGAGGTCTGAAGTGGCTTGTCTTGAAGGGTCCAGACCCCCATTACGAAATCTGGAGTAGGATGGGGAAAGGCGGGGTTACGAAATCTGCTGCATGCAGCTGGTTCCAGCCCCGCCGCCGGGTCCATCCTTCGACACATGGGCACCAGGGGGCGCCAGGAAAACCGGCTGCGTGCGCTGATTCTCTACCCTGCCCTGTGCTATCCTACCCTTTCGCCCCCCCGCCCCCGGTCGACGGGCCCCGGGACCGTCCACAACGGGGAAGTGGTCCAGACCTCCGGAGGTCCACGCATCGCAGGAAGTGGAGCGCCCAATGCCTGGGGGTGGCCTGTTTGGCAACGCTTCGGGCCATGAGCGGCGGACAGATCTCACCGAGCGCGGTCCTCTACTCGGGAAGTGCCTATTCGCAAGCGCCCGAAACAAAAAGCACATGTTCGCCTCGTTGTAATAGACCGTAGATCCCCCGCGTCGGATCCAGGCCATTTGCGAGTAGTTCCTTCGCGAGGTGTGGAGCGCGCTTGTCCGATATCTGCGCCCTCGCGCCGAGCGTTCCCAGCAGCACGCTCGTCAGCGGGGTGGGAAGGTAGCGCCGGCTGGCCGAGCCGAGAGCCAGGGGCGGCCTGTTTGGCAACGGTTCGGGGCAGAGGCGGGGGAGGGGCAGGCAGGTGGGAAAAGCGGAGGGATAGTGTAGCACCCCGCAGTTGCGGATAAGAGTGAGGGGGCGAGCGCGGGGTGGGTCGCGGGTTAGTCGCTGGTGGGTCGCCGGTGGGTAGCGGGTGGGTCGCGGGCCGGATCGCGGGCGGGACGACGACCACAAACAACTACTCATTGCGTGGAGCTCCCCATATGTGCATTCTTTTTAAATGGAAAAGTGTATTTGGGATATTTAAATGAGCGTCTAGCCATATGAGCCACAAGAAGGAAAGTGAACCTTTTCAAGGTCCCTCTCCCGCAGCTAGAGAGTGAACCTTTTCAAGATCCCTCCCCAGCCAAACCGCACGCGGGAGAATGAACCTTCTCAAGTTCCCTCTCCCGCTGACGACGACAAGATTGGAAAGCACCACAGAGAGAGAAAGCAACATCCCACGATGACACAATCTCTGCGACAGCAACACCCTGTCACTCCTCCTTGACCGCCGCACGCAACGGGGAGAGCCACTCGGGACACAACGCAAAAGCAGAAAACAGGCAAACCGCCAGAGACAGCCGTGAAAGCACCCTTCGCGGCTCCCCTCATGGGTGCTGAAACCAGCGCCGCGCCTGAGACATCCTCACAATCTGCTCTCCAAGCGAAGGATGTTGAGACAGACCACAGGCAAACCGCTTGAGACATCCCCACAGAACGGCCGCGAACGGGACCGTGCAATACCCCTCGGCGGCTCCCCTTAGGGGTGCTGAAACCAGCGCCCCGCCTGAGACATCCTCACAATCTGCTCTCCAAGCGAAGGATGTTGAGACAGAACACAGGCAAACCGCTTGAGACATCCCCACAGAACGGCCGCGAACGGGACCGTGCAATACCCCTCGGCGGCTCCCCTTAGGGGTGCTGAAACCAGCGCCCCGCCTGAGACATCCTCACAATCTGCTCTCCAAGCGAAGGATGTTGAGACAGAAACAGGCAAACCGCTTGAGACATCCCCACAAACGGCCGCGAACGGGACCGTGCAATACCCCTCGGCGGCTCCCCTTAGGGGTGCTGAAACCAGCGCCCCGCCTGAGACATCCTCACAATCTGCTCTCCAAGCGAAGGATGTTGAGCCCAGAAACAAGCAAACCGCCTGAGACATCCCCACAAAATGGCCGCGAACGAGCCCGTGCAACCACCCCTGGCGGCTCCCCTTAGGGGTGCTGAAACCAGCGCCCCGCCTGAGACATCCTCACAATCTGCTCTCCAAGCGAAGGATGTTGAGACAGAAACAGGCAAACCGCTTGAGACATCCCCACAGAACGGCCGCGAACGGGACCGTGCAATACCCCTCGGCGGCTCCCCTTAGGGGTGCTGAAACCAGCGCCCCGCCTGAGACATCCTCACAATCTGCTCTCCAAGCGAAGGATGTTGAAACTGAACACAGGCAAACTGCTTAAGACATCCCCACAGAAAGGCTGCGAACGGGACCGTGCAATACCCCTCGGCGGCTCCCCTAAGGGGTGCTGAAACCAGCGCCCCGCCTGAGACATCCTCACAATCTGCTCTCCAAGCGAAGGATGTTGAGACAGACCACAGGCAAACCGCTTGAGACATCCCCACAGAACGGCCGCGAACGGGACCGTGCAGTACCCCTCGGCGGCTCCACTGAGGGGTGCTGAAACCAGCGCCCCGCCTGAGACATCCTCACAATCTGCTCTCCAAGCGAAGGATGTTGAAACTGAACACAGGCAAACTGCTTAAGACATCCCCACAGAACGGCTGCGAACGGGACCGTGCAATACCCCTCGGCGGCTCCCTTTAGGGGTGCTGAAACCAGCGCCCCGCCTGAGACATCCTCACAAGCTGCTGTGTGTTGAGTAAGACCTACAATGAGAAGGTCTGTGTATGAGTAAGTCTGGGTATGAGTGAGTCTCAGCATGAGTAAGTCTGAGTATGAGTAGGTCTGAGCATGAGTAGGTCTGAGTATGAGTAACTTAATATGATCAGGTATGAGTGTGAATAAGTCTTTGTATGAGTAAGTATGTGTATGAGTAGGTCTAGGTATGAGGAGGAGGATGAGGAGGAGGAGGAGGAGCAAACAGAGGAATCAGGAGTAGGAGGCGCCCAAGTAGTAACAATAGCCCCATCTTAGGACATGGGGAACAAAGAACAAACAACAAGCATCAAGGAGAACAGCAATAACAACAACATCAACAACAGCAATCATTTAACCCTCATGCACGATGTTTCCACACGAAGCATGCGGCCATCATGATAACCATCCCCATCATGGGGGACTCTTGTTCTATAGCGGGGTCAGTTATTCCCATTCCCAGATCTCCCGCCCAAACAGGTCTTGCAAGCACCTCCTCCGAGGGATTTCAACATATCTCGCCTCGAAAACGCATGCCCGCGCTTTGCTGCGCCGATGCGAGCCCGCCAGTGGAGCCCCAGCCAAGGGTAACGCACAAGGAAGTATCGAGCGACAAGATTGCCTTGGTGGGAATGGGGGCTGTCGGCGGCGAGGCAAGGACCTGGCCCTGTAAAGAAAGGGAGGAAGTCTCGAGCATGGCCGCTGTTGTTGCTGGGAGCGGCGCCAATGCTGAAGACAGTAGGGCGCTAGTTCAGCGTAAAACAAAAGGAAGTCTCGAGCGGGAGCGCTGGTTTTGTTGGGACGGCGGTTGTCGGCGGCGAAGAGGAACACCGCCTTGAGTAGGAAGTGGGGAAGTGTCGAGCGGGAGCCGTGGTTTCGTCGGGACGAAAATTATCGGCGGCGAGGAACAGCACAGTCCTAAGGAAGAAGGGAAGGAACCTCGAGCGGGAGCGTTGTTCTTGCTTGGAGCGGCGCCAATTCAAAAGAGACTAGGGCGACAGTCCAGCGTAAAACGAGAGGAAGTCTCGGGCAGGAGCGCTGGTTTTGTCGGGACGGCAGCTTTCCGGCGGCGAGGAGGAGCACCGCCTTGAG